ACCCTATAATATAATAAAGATTCAAACCTTGTGAAAAATTTCTAAACACGTTAGTTTCTAGTTGTGAGAAATGATTGGCAATTCAATTTCAATAGTTTCCAAAAGTTACGATGCTTAGTTGAAATTGACTGAAGACACTGTGAAGTCGAAAAGGGAGTGCTTTGCATTGAAAGTTGAAAATGGAAATCAATATTCATTATTGAATAAGTAAGTTGAAGCTCGACAATAAAATTTTAATTGCGATCAAAGTTATTTAATGATGTAGTAATCAGTAAAAGCTACGTTAATATCTTTTGAACTTTCCTTATTTTTAATTATGTATAATTCTAATTTTGAATAAAAAATAATATTAATAATTTTTTTATAATTATATTATTGATACAAAATATTTGTTATTTTTATTGGAGGCTAATTTCCTGTTCTCTTCTTTCAATCATTTTTTTTATGCATAAAACTCGAGGTTGAGACTTTGTTTAAAGAGACTAAAATCCACATGAATTTATACCTAAATTTTGTTAAAAAATTATTACATATTTAGCATTTTTTATATACAGTATATATATATATATATAAAGTTTGAGTATGATAAAAAAATAGGCTTTAAGAAAATATCATCCCTTAAATAATTTCATAAGTTTCCTCGACTTAAAAGTTATATAAATAACGAAAGTTTTAAAAGAAAAATTGTAATTATAAAATTATAATTTTACTTTTATTATATTACAATTTAAAATTTTAGGTAAAGTCTCAATTATCGTATTTTATAAGTCTTCATAATATTATTCTTATCCAAAAAAAAAAAAATCAAATGATTGACTATAACTCTTAATTGGAATGTAATAGACTTTAATACCTATTTTTTTAGTCATGGTAAACGGTGACTAAATTTTATTGATAACTATAAATATGGTGAATATTTGATATCCTTCTAATATAATTTATTTCACATTTAAGATAAAAATTTAAATATTAAACAATTTGATTAAGGAACTTAATGCTCATAATAATAATATTAATTGTGGTTTGGATATACAAGTAATTTAGGATTTATTTGAATAAACATTTTTATAAGTACTTAGGTGAGAAAAAATAAGAAGAAAAATGAAATAATTTTTAAAAAATTAAAATTAGCTTATGTATAAGATTGTAAGTTAATTTATAAAAGTTCTTACATATTATCTTCTCCAAAATATATTTCTTTTATATATAAGTTAATTTCAGACAAATCAATTTAAATGTAAAAAAATAGGTGATGTATTGATAATATAAAGAAAATTTACACTATCACTCAATTACAAACTTTTATTTATGGCAAGTTTTGACTTTTATAATAAATAAGTAAAAAAAAGTGATATCTTTTTTGTTGTTAATGTAATTATTAAAATATTTACTTTACTTTTTAGTCCTATAATTTAAAATAAATATTTTTTGTTTCTTATATTTATCTTCTTTTTTTTAATCATTTTTAGTTCCTTATAGTTTAAGATTATTTTTTGTCTTGATATTTATAATTTTTTTTTAATTATTTCGGTCTATGTTGTTGTTGTTGTTTTTTATTTTTTATTTTTTATTTTTTTTATTATAATATTAGCTCTTTCATGTTGATGTAATAGAGCTATTAATTTAACTTAGTGTATTTTGATATCAAATTTATTTTGATAGAGTTATTCTAAATTATATCTTTCAACACTTTTTGCCTTTTTGGTACTCATACTTATGATATCCATTGTTGAGACACCTTTTTTTAATTCTCACGTGATTGAAGATATCTATCATATCAACACCATACAAACATTATGCACAAAAAAATAATGATAGGAACAAAAAAAGTTAAAAAATTGTAAGTATATGAATTAAAAAATTTTAAATTATAAATACTTAAAAAGATTGAAAAAGATAAATATAAAAATTAAAAAAAGTTTGTTTTAAACTATATAAACTAAAATAAAATAAAATAAGTAAAATTATAGAAACTAAAAAAATATTTTAATCTAATATAACACTATTTTATAGTATCAATATAAGATCATTGAACTCTTAAATGAAACTTCTAAAAATTCGTCAATAAAATTTTAGTGACGCCAATATTTTTTTGTAGGGAAAAGGAAAAACAAAACAGAAAAGGAAACTATAAAGCTAATGTCTTAAAAAGACTACACTCAATCAATCAACTAAAACAAATGAGGATAGCTGAGAAGGACAATCATTCTAAATGTGAGAAACATCATGATGCATTGCTCCATACATGAATTGCTCTCACCAAGGGTATGTTTGAAGGTAATAGTCCAATCCAAGCTCATATATATATTTATAAATTAAAGGATGATTAGGATGAAATCTATTAGCTACATTTTGAATCAATTAAAGTTAGGATTAAGTTCGATTCACAGAGAACATGTTTAAATCCGTCATTCCATGCTTTACAGAGATCATGAAGAATGACAAACAGCTATGCTTTAAGGCTGGAACTGGAAGTCACACCACATGTACCAAATAAGCCTGGTATCCTGTTCCCAAAAATTATCCTTAAGTATTCTACCAAAACTCGAGTCTCCTAGGTTACCAAGAGAGGATCCATTTATGTGGATTTTCATAAACAGTAGAATTATTAGTGAGGAAAAAACATTTTTCATCAATAAATTTTGTCATTCATGCATTAATTTCTTTAATACTATATAAATGATTAAAATTAAAAATTAATTAATAATCATGTAACCATTTAAAAAAAAAAGTCATAGACACCTTTATTTTTATTTTGATCTTTTATATTTATAATTCTTATTTTTCACACTAAAATATGTTCTTTTGATATTAGTATATCACGATTAAAGGGTTTATCACAATCGATTAAATATACTTAAGTTATTGTAATTTTCTTAATATTAAATTTGATTTCGCCGGATAAAAAAATATAAACAATAATATATTTTCATGCTGTATATTTTATTAAAAATAAAATCTTTTTTATCAGGTTATATCTTCCTTACAATACAACCCCGTTTCAAACCGGTTCAACTCAATATTCGAATAGAATAGACAAACTCAATATTTATAACTAAGATTCCCATACCTTTTATTATTATTATTTATTTGAAATATTTATTAATTTTTCGAATATATTACTTTTGGTACTTTACGGATAATACAGTTACAGTCCATGATCCATTCATAATAGTATCTGATGTGAGTCAACTCTAGTGAGTGTTGCTTGGAAACAAATAGCAGAGTAGTACTGGAAATTTAGAAGAGAGAACTAATTGCATATATGACGAAAAGTTACTTTCTTTATAGTAAAAGGAATGAAACGAAATTTAGAAAAATAATGAAGGTAGTACTACATTAGAGTTTTTTCCTCAAATAATATATTTTTAAAATAAATTTACCCAAATAGTACCTGTGTAAATTTATTTCTTCAATTAGTATCATTTACTGTTTATATATATATCG